TACCATGGTTGTGTATTATAAAACCAAGCTATTATACTGATCCCAGATGGGTGGGATATGACTGGTTTGCTGTTGCCTTAGTACCTTTGCTCCCGTTCACTTTCATTCTGCTGCTCAATGCTCTGACAGTCAAACATATCTTGGTGGCCAGTCGAGTCTGTCAGGGGCTGAAGAGTCAGAACAAGGGAGATAATCACCGTGACCCAGAGATGGAGAGCAGAAGGAAATCTGTGATTTTACTGTTTACCATATCTGGCAGCTTTGTACTTCTGTGGTTGGTGTACGTTATTGATTTCTTATATTATGGCATCACAGGAACAGATCCTAATGATTATAACAATGTTGAATATATCTTTGAAGAAACTGGAGTTATGTTGTTCAATTTAAGTTGTTGCACAAACACTTTTATTTATGGGACCACTCAGTCTAAGTTCAGACATCAGATCAGGCGTGCTGTGAAATATGCAGTTGCATCAGTTATCCACTTATTGAATAAACAAAGTAACAGCAAGCCACGTTTGGATGCCAGTAGTCCCATTCAATAGACCTTCAACCAAGAGCCGTGCACAATCAGGCAAGATGTGACAGCTGGAGCAGTGGATGTAAAGGGAGTATCAGAACGACCTCTATAGTATTGGAGAGGAAACAGCAGATATAGTCTTTACTGGTTCAATACCACTCAAATTATTTCAAAGTAAACTTGTTATTACTAAAGAACAATACCTTGAATGCTGGAAATCTTTTTATGTACGTCTCTCTGTTTTTCATATTTGGGAAGTATTCGATATGTCTGTCTCCCTTCCATCTATTTTAAATTCATCCACTGATGTCTCTGACCTGACCAATATTTATTTCCCATCCCCAATTACCGAGAGTGCAGTTAAGAGTCAACCACATTGCTGTTGATCAGGAGTCACATAGAGGCTAGAGAAGGTAAGGATGACATATTCCTTCCCTACAGATTAGTGAAGAAAATGGCTTCAGCAAGAGTTGACAATTATTTCATCGTCATCATCAGACTATAAATTCCAGATTTTTAAAAGTTGATTTTTAATTCTACCAGCAGCCATATCAGGATTCAAACTTCGGTTCCACGGAGTCTTTAGTCAAGTTATAATGCTACTAGGCCACCACCTACCCAGCATTTCCTCTCACCTCTCTGTTTCACTCTCACCCTCTCTCTGTGACTTTCTGTTTTTCATTCTCTCTCTTTCTGCATTTCTCCCTCTCTTCTGCTCGTTCCCTACGTGTGTCTTTCTTTATTTCTCTCCTGGTATCTTATTTCTGTCTGACGGACAGAGAGTGAAAGGAGGCATCAAGCGCTGCAAGCTTGCTCACTGCGTTACATTTATCAACCAACTGCATTCTGGTAAAAAAGAAAGTTTATTTCCAGACCAACATTTTCAACTTTTCTCTTGGGCACAAGAGTTGCACCTTGAATTCGACAAGGCATGCTCACCAACCGACCATTTTAGGCATGTGGCAGTGTCTCCACTGTCGCCAGTTCTTTATCTCCCGTCAGTGAACAACCCATGGAGAGTGAGTTCTTCCTGGGTTTACTGCCCAAACTTTCTCTTGTTCTATTTTTCCAAGTTTGTCATTCCGTAAGACAGCCACCAGAGTACAGTGTTGCCCAACAAATGGCAGCCCTTTAAAGGTCTGTGATCGCTCCTCCTCACATTAAGGGCCTCTCATACACACTCTAGAATGGCTTTTTCCATGTTTTGTGGGGCTGTCACAATGTCGGTTAATCGCCTTGCTCCATCTTCAGTCATACCAATCAGGATTATTTGGATTTGTGTTGGGATCTTGCAACGGGAAGCTTCCCCCCGCCCCTCACAGTCACTTTCTTTCACATTACCTCCTGATCCGGACTAAGACTGGTCAGCCTGAACCTGGAGTTAATTTCATCACTGGCCATCTATTTTTTTTTTTATTATTTTTGCACACACCATGTGATGCATGGCTGGAAGTAATTTGTGAGGTGCTGTGCCCTAGAAAAAAATACATCCACTGGAGGCAGCAGAAAACGTGAATGTTAGTGTGCTGAAGATGTAGAGCTAAAACCACAGAGAGAATTAAGAAGACAACATTGTGTGGAGCTGGAGGAACACAGCAGGTACGGCAGCATCAAAGGAGTAGGAAAGTCAGCGTTTACGGTCGGGACCCTTCTTAACGTAAAACGTCGACTTTTCTACTCCTTTGGTTCTGCCTGATCTGCTGTGTTCCTCCTGCTCCACATTGTGTCTATCTGACTCCAGCATCTGCAGCTGTTGCTATCTCCGAAAGAAATAAGAAGACTAACAAAAGACCAAGATATAGGCTCGTTGTTTTGGGCATAAACCTACAAAGAAAGAGAGGGAGAGATGAAAATAAATAATGAGACATCGATTTAGCGATGAAGAAACGTCATTGGAGGAATGCTGGAAAAGAGGGGGTTAGAAACAGACAAGAATCAGGAGGTAGAGAAAGAGCAAGAGAAATGGAGGGATAGAGAAAGAAGTATGGGAAAATAGGGAAGCTGGACAGGAAGAATGGGAGTGAGATTTAGGAATAAACTTTGGATACAGACGGAGAAATGCAGAACAACTGTGATAACTGTAGGGAGAGAGGGAGAGGTGAAAACATATGGAGAGTGATGGAAGGTACAGAGAGAGAGAGATTAGAGAAGGGAAAGAAGAGAAACAGGAAGACAAAGCTAGAGAGAGAAAGAAATGCAGAGAGGAGTAGAGTAGATGACTAAAGTTAAGGGGCAAGAGATAGAGAGGCAGAGGAAAGGAGAGAGAGAGAAACATTCCTAGAGAAGGAGAAAGGTAGAAGTTTGGGGTAATAGAGAGAGAAATAGAGAGGCTGAGGGAAGCAAAACGTGAGAAAGAGGGAGAAAGAGAAGAAGGGAGAGACAGAGAGACCATATTTATACTTGCATGAGAGAGGTGTAGAAATTTCAGAAGAAAAATGCCAAGGTGGTGGAGAGTATTCCATGACAGAGAAAGAAACAGAAAGAGTCAGGGAGCATAGAGATAGGGCTAGACAGACAGAGTTCAGTATTGATGAGATGTTACAGATTCCAACAATTGACAAGGATGAACACACTGAGAGAACGAATAAGGGAAGGCTATGCAATTGGTGGAACCAGGAAGAAATCTTTTTTTGTTTACCTTTGTTTTCTTAAACTGAGGCGGTACAGGACAGATTACAACTTTGTACGCCTCACCTCCCCACCACCATCTTGTGTATTTGAACCCGAATGTATCACCGTGGAGACAATCAACTTGGCACTGTGCCTGTTTGGCTGATTACACCACAACAAAAACTTTCCTTTTGCCAACGATCCCCAGCCCCAGGTACTGTGTGGATGAGCTACAGGTTCGATGCCAGCATGCAGCCACTCCTGATGGGGAGTGTTCCCAGGAAAGGAGGAGCTCCAGTCTCCCAGAACTAGTGAGCAGTCGGAAGCTCTGCTGTCCTGGGAAGCTGATCTGTTCCAGAGAGCAATGAGCAGACCTCGACCAGTTTGTGCTTGGTTCTATCGCACTGTGAATGCTGAGCAGTACTTCGGAGAGGGGACCAGGCTGACTGTTTTAGGTGAGTTTCCTCCAGGTGGTTATGTTTCTCTCAGCGGCCAAAGTTGTTAATTTTTCATTGATCGGGAACTGGAGGCTGGAAGATTGAAGAAATTTACAAGAATGTTTGCCAGTGGCACTGTTGGAGTGTTTGAGCTTTTCAGGCAGGCTGAATAGGTTGGGACTATTATCCCTAGAGCATCAAAGGCTGAGTTTCGTAAAATTAACAGGGGCATGGATAGGGTGAATAGCGAAGGTATTTTGCTCCACGGTAGGGGAGTCCAAAACTAGAGGACGTGGTTTGCAAGTGAGAGGGAAAATATTTAAAAGGGACCTAAGGGGTAAATTTTCACGCAGAGGGTGGTGTCTGTATGGAACTAGCTGCCAGAGGAAGTGGTGGAGGCTGGTACAATTACAACATTTAAAAGTTATCTGTGTGGGTACAAGATTAGGAAATGTTTAGGGGAATATGGGCTAAATACTGGAAAATGGTGCTAAATCAGTTTAGGATATCTGATTGGTATGGTCGAGTTGGTTTGAAGGCTCTGTTTCCATGCACTATGACTGTCTGAGTGAAGCAGTGTACAATGACAAGGTCACTTGTTTGAAAGTTGGAAGGTGGTAAGGTGGAGAAATAAGAGAAAGAGTAGATGGAAGAGAGAACCGAGGTAAAATTAGCGAGCTGGATAGGTAGAAAATGGATAAGTTAGAGGACGTGAGCGCGGTTGGTAGAGATTCAAGAAGACCAATAAAGTGCCTCAGCGAAAGAGAAAACGAGTAGGAAAGAATGAAAGTGGGAAAGCAAAGGGAGATGGAAGGAGTGAGACAGTGAATGAAAGAAATACAGCAGCATAAGGAGTGAGATACAATGATTAAATAAAATGCATAGCAGGGGAGGCCAACGGAGAGAGTGAGAGAGAGACAGAGAGATGGAAAATGAAATGAGAAAGGTATTTTTTGAAGAAGGGTCGCTGGACTTGGACCATTAACTCTGTTTTGTCCCTCCACAGATGCTGCTGAGTTTCTCCAGCAATTTCTGTTTTTGTTTGTTTCAGACTTCCACAGCTCTTTGTTTTATTTTAAAGGGAGAGGGATGCATAGAGAGCAATATTATGTTAAGTAGAGGAAGTAGAGGACAGATGGGGAAAGAGGGACAAAGCGAGACATTGAGAAAAAGATTAAACAGAAAGAAGTCAAAAGCAGAGAAATACAGAGAAATGGAGAGAGAAATATTGTAAGAGGAAAGGGGGAATAAAACAGACAGCGAAAGAATCAGAGACAGGGAGAGATAGATTACAATAGAGTGAAGACAAGACAAATTGGAATAAATGGATTTTGTACAGACAGAAAGAAGGAGATAAAGACGGGGTTGGGGAGAGAGGGAAATAGCGTGCAAGGGAGGGAAGAAAGGAGTTAGAGATGAGAGAGAAAGAGAAAGATTTGGGAGGAAAATACTGAAGAGTGAATGCATCTATTCAAACAGGAGATTTCTAAATGCGTACTGATTTGGAATGGAAGCAGTGAATAAATGAAATGGATACTGAGAGCTAGAGATCAAGAGATAGATGCGGGAGAAAAAGCAAGAAAGAGATGACCATGGAACTGGACTGAGTGCATATAAACATAAAGCTTGGAGACGGATTTAGTAGCTGAAGAGAGAATGGAGAGCAGTGCAGAAAGATATTGCGTTTCAGGGGAGGCAATATTAAACGTTATTGGGTCGGATTTGTATCCCCAGGAGAGAAAAAAATCTCGATTTTAGGTTTTCAGATCGACTGGCCTACAGTGAACTGCTGAATAAGGTAATCTCTCGTAAGGTTCAACATAAAGATGACCTCTTTGATCTCAAAGATGCCCCGCTGTCTCTCTAGTTGCTCTCTTGCTCTTTATGTACTTGTAGAATCTCTTTGGATTATCCTTAAGCTTATTTGCCAAGGTTATCTCATATCCTTTCTTTGCCCTCCTGATCTCCTCTTAAGAATGCGCCTACACTCTTAATACTGTTCAAGAGATTCAGTTGAACACAGTTGTCTATATTTAATACATGATTCATTTTTTTTCATTCTTGACTAGAACCTCAATACCTTTATTCATCTATTGTTCTCTAATCCTGCTAGCCTTATTTTTCTTGAAATCTTCTTAGTTATCAGAAGTCCCTTTCCCTGCAAGCAATCTGCTTCAAACATTTTTTGACATTTCTTGTCCTATAGCATTAACATTTGCCTTACTCCAATCAAAAACTATCATTTTAATGGAAGTCATCCTTTTCCATAATTATATTAGCACAAATGGAACTATTTTCACTAGACCCAAAGTGTTCCCCAACCATCAGTTCAGTAACTTGTTGTGGTTTATTATACAAAAGAAGGTTACGTTTTGCTCTTTCCCTGGTCGGAGCATTTATATATTAATAAAAAAAAATCTTGAATACATTTAACAAATTCTTCGCTATCCAAAAGTTTAACATGATTGTAGTCCCAGTCAAATATTCTTACATTTATCTCAAGTCTCTCTACATATTTGTTCCTCAATTTCCCTCTGATTATTGTGAGGTCTATAATACAAACCATCAATCTGACAATTCCCTTTTTATTTCTAGTTTCAATCTATATATTTTCACTGGATGATTTTTCAGAAATAGCTTCTCTAGTAACAGCAGTAACATTTTACTTAATCACAAACGGCGCTACACTTCCTCTTTTGCTTCTCTTTCTATCCTTCCTGTAGTATTTGAAATCCAGAACATTGAGTTGCCAGTCCTGCCCATCCGTCAGGTTTCTGTAATAACTATGACACCCCGATTCCATGTTCCTAAACATGCCCTGAGTTCATCAGCCTTACTTTTAAGACGCCCTGCATTGAAATAAATAGTTTAATTCTTCAGAGTTACTTCGCTATCAGACTTAGTCTGTCTTTTCTAATAAACGTTTTCTGTTCAGATTCAAAACCATCTGCATCTATCTTTGTATTTACCCTCTCACTTAGGATTCCTCCACCTCTCCCTCTCTTATAGTTTGCAATAAAATTAGCAAATCTTCTGGTCAGGACATTGGGCCCTTTCCAGTACAGGTGAAATAAATCATTTTTGAAGAGGTCTTTTCTGCCCCAGGAGAGATCCCAATGATCCAAGACCCCGAATGCCTGAACATTACACTACCTCTACAGACGTTGAATTATCTCATTTATCCTTTTATCTATTTTTTTCCCTCATTCGAGCTTGGCAACAGAATTAAATCAGAGTTTACTACTTTTGAAGCTTTTTTTTTTACAATTCTTCTACTGAACCTTTTATATTTGCTCTGTAAAGCCTTAATCATTTCCCTAACTATATCATTGCTACCAATGTGTACGATAGCTTCAAGTTTCTCACTCTCCTCCCCCTGCTTAAGAATATGTTTTAAACATTTTGAGATGTCCTTAATCCTGGTACCAGGAAAAGAACATACTATCCTAGATTCACGCTCACTGCCACAGAATCTCCTGTCTGTGCGTTTGGCAGGACAGTCGCCTATAACAATTATTCTTTTAAATTTTTTCAATCTCCGCCTAATATAAGGTTCATTCTTAATGCCTAGGATCTGACTGCCTCTTCCATTTTCCTCTGAGAGACTATCCTTTACGACAGTACCAAAAACAGTTTATCCGTTTGAGAGATGAACAGCCGCAGGAGACTTCTTAACTACCTTCTTACATTTTCTGACAGTCATCCAACTAATTGATTGTTCCTAGTGTGTAATCACTTCTCTAAATCCACTAGCCATCTAAATCTGTGTCTTTTGTATGCTGTCAATGATATCAAACTGTTAACGTAGCTTACAATAGCACATTATATATAAAATAAACCGTTTTTTCTTACCAAAAGTGTCAATATTAAGCAGCCAAACAAAAGAAATAAAAGTAATCAAGCATATAATTCTTAAATAAAATCAATCAATTAGCTGAACAATCGAATTTCAAAAAAACTCTTCCTCAAGTGTTCCAGCAGACAGTTTTCAGTCTTCTGATTTAAAAATGATCTCACTCCAGAGTTGTCCACGTGTAGGCCTCTCCAAAAGCTCCATAAACATAACTTTGTTTTTTACAAAACTCTCCTCCTCAATGTAAACAAAAATTCGTTTAACAATGTTTGTGTTTTAATTATAATAGAGCCAAAAATGAATCAAAATATAAATCTTATACTACTAAAGTGAAACAACTTTAAGAAATCTGGAAGTAAGATACTTCTAGGACTACCCAAAAAGAAACTCATTAACACAACACCATTTCAAAAAAAATCACATGCTTTGTTTTGTGTTTTTGGCTGTAAAAGAATCAAAAATGAATCAAAATAAAAGTTTTATACTACTGAAAGGTAATAACTGTCGGAAATTTAGAAGTAAATCTGGAAATGAGCCTGAATTTCAGGAGAAGCTGCAAGGTCAGCATTACTTTCAGTCTACCACTGTAGAATTTGAGTTGAGTGAAAAGTTTAGTGTGATGACCTTCGAAGTCAAATAGTCAACAAATGCCCATTGGTTTAAGAAGCATTTAAACAGACACAAGAAAAGGCAGATAATAAAGGGACATGGAATATATGCAGGCAGATGGAATTAGTTTTAATGACCTTAATGTCAGCACAGATATCGTAGGCTAAAGGGCCTGCTCCTGTGCTGCACTGTCCAATGTTGTATGTTGTGCTTTCTGTGTTCTATGTTCTATGCCAGGTGTATAACAGATACAAAAGTTTAGAATGAAATCATGCACAGATATGGTTGGCCAAAGGGCCTGTTGCTATGCTGTAATATTCTATATTCTATGTTCTCTGTTGTCTGTACTATGTTCTATTGCCTACATTCTGTGTTCTCTGTTTGATGTTCTATAACAGGTGTATAACAGATGCAAAGGGATCAAAACATGCAGAGGCCCCAGAGGAGTATAGAAAGCACAGGGTGAAACTTAATAGCAAACAATAAGACACGCAAGACAAGGGAAAATCCCAAAACATTCTAAAGGTATATCATGGATATAGAATAATTAGAGAAAGGGTAGGGCCTGTTAGGAAGCAAGGGGAAGATCTGTGTGTGGAGACAGACGACATTTGTAGCATGTTAAATAAGTACTTCTCATCTATGAGGATGTAGGTGCAGAAATCAGAAAGATAGATGTGGGTTTCTTGAGCAGATTGACAAAGGGAATGAGGAGATATTGGTGCAAAAACAGAAATTTCTGGAGAAACTTAGCAGCTTTGGAAGTACCTGCGGGGAGAGAAACAGAGTTAACACTTCGAGTCCAGTGAATCTTTGATGTTCTGATGAAGAGTCACCCGGCTCAAAGTTAACTCTGCTTTCTTCCCACGATGCTGCTATACCTGCTGAGTTTCACCAACAATTTCTGTTTTGTTTCTCCAGCAGTCATCGTTCTTTGATTTAGTTTAAACGATGGATGTTTCAGTGAGCTTAAAAGTGGACAAATCCCTAGATCAGGGTGACTATGTTGCTGTAGGAGACAAGGGAGGGGATTGCAGGGACCCTAACCCAAACTCTTAAATGCCATCACATTCAAATGCTAAGTTCTATGGACCAAGTTCTAGAAAGTGGGACTGGTGTAGTTTTAGTAGTTCAGACTCGATGGGCCGAAGGGCCTCTTCTGCACTGTGAGATTCTACGGTTCTATAACTTAGCACATTTGTGGCAATGGGATCCTGTGGGAAAGTTCTATCCTCTTCCCCTGCCCAAGTCCATTCCCTGATTCTGAACATGTGCCCATTTTCGTTATTTACTCCCACAGAGGCAGGTCAAGAGGTGAAACATCCTGAGGTGATGGTTTTTGACGTGTCCGATGAACAGGTAAATAACCAGAAGAAAGCCACCATTGTCTGCCTGGCCCATGGCTTTTTCCCAGGCTACGTGAAGTTCTCCTGGACCACGAATGGCAAGGAGGTCACGGGAAAGAATGTGGTGACGGACATACCTGCTCAGGACAATTCTGGCCACTATAGCGCGACCAGTAGGCTTACCGTCCCAGCGACCGAATGGGGACAAATGGAGTATTCGTGCAAAGTGACCCATTACCGCAAAGATGGCCAAGAGCTACACTGGGAGAAACCAATCAGCAGTAGGAGAGGTAAGATTCTCCAATGTTGTTACGCTTGAAATGGTTTTGATTTGCAAGGATGTTGCCAGGGTTGGATAGATGAGAGGGGAACAGCTTAAAGGAGATGTGCTAGGCAAGTTTTATTTTACACAGAGGCAGTAGGTGCCTGGAGCACTTTGCCAGGTGAGGTGGTAGAAGCAGTTAAGACAGAAACGTTTAAGAGGCACTTAGATAGACATATGAACAGGCAGCAAATTGAGGCATACGGACCATTTGGATGCCATTAGTTTAGAATAGCACCATGGTTGGCGCAGACATGGTGGGCCGAAGAGCCTGTTCTTGTTCCATACTGTTCTATGTTCTATGTATATGACTTACCGTGGTCATTTTACTTTCTCTTATGACAGAAGAGACTTAAAACCATGAAGGAGTCTTCAGTCCCTCTTTCCCCAGCTCATCCATTCAACCCAATAATCGATGGTATCTATTGTAATTCTTGCTGCTTGAATTGGTTCATTAACTATTAATCAATGTATTGTTGTATTGTATCCCAGCACATTCTATCCGCCCCATCTCCCCACCACTCAGATATCTCAGTCACGGAGTCATTAGTTTCTCAGTTGACCACTGCTCTCAGTTTCTTGGGTACAAATTTCCACATTTTCACCTTCGTTGTTTGGAGAAATATTTGCTGATGCCTATCCTTACCAAACTATCTCCAATGTTCAGCTTCTGTCCGTTTATTCTGGGCTGACCTTGAAAGGCAGCCCCTCTCTCGATCAACCCCATCAAGTTCTTCACAGATTTTAAACATGTCAACTGGATCACGCTTGGATCTTGTATGACTAAGTGAGTCATGATTAATTTGTTTGATTTCAGTCATACTATAACTGCCCAGAGTCATTGAACAGTACAGCACTGAAGAAGTTTTGCCACAAAATAAAGCAAAGAACAGGGGATGTTGGAAATCTGAAACAGAAACACAAATTGCTTGAGAAAGTCATTGGATCTGGCAGCATCTGAATTAGATAGTTCTGAAGAAGGGTCACTTGACACATAACACTAACTCTGCTTTCGCTCCATGGAATAAATATTTTGCCAGTTCTTTCAGAGCTCAGTCTAGGTCAGTCAACTCTCACGCACTTTTCCTGTATCCCTGCCGCTCTGATATCTTGGGAACATTTCCACAGTTCTCCACTGAAAACCAAAATGCTTTGACTCCCCTCCCTAGATGTTCATCTGCTGAGAAATTTATTTTATAGTGGTTCCCAACGGTTCCTTTCCGATGATCTCCCCTCTGCTCACATTAGTTACCAACTTTCAATGGTAGGAAGAAGCCAACTTTAATGTAGACTCAATAATCACTTCAATTTATATCATGGTATCGTGTCAGATTTCCACTTGACCAAGAGAATGAAAAATTCTGAATTCTAATTGACATCCCTCAAGCCTGGAACGATTTGAATTTATCACTTTTCCACTCATGTAGGGCTGTCACAGCCTATCTGAAATTCATACCCAGACATGAGTACAACCTAGTGCTTTAGAACTTCAAATGCAGTGTTTGTTTATTCAAGATAGTTCTCCATTTCCAAAACATGGCATTCAATAGTCTGCACAAACCATCTTCTCAACCTGTTCCTTGCCCACGAAGAGTTATGTGAGTGCATTACCAGTTCTCTACACAGACTTTAACATTCAGTTGGCCTTGTATTTTGGTGGGTTTTTTTTTTAATTCATTCATGCAGCATGAGCATCACTGGCTGGGCCAACGTTTATTGCCTGTCCCTAGTTGTCCCCTTTGAGAAGGTGGTGGCGATGTGCATTCTTGAACCTTTGCAGGTCACAAGCTGTGGTTAGACTGACAATGCCCTTAGGGAATAATTCCACCGTTTTGACTCAGTGATTTTCTTTTTCCAAGCCAGGATGCTGAGCGGGTTGGAGGGGAAATTGCAGGTGGTGGTATTCCCATGTATCTGCTGCCCTTGTCCTCCTGGATGGAAGTGGTCATGGGTTTGTAAATTGCTACCTAAGGATCTTTGGTAAATTTCAGCAGCGTATCTTGTATATAGTATATACTCCTGCTACTGAGTATCAGGGGCGGAGGGAGTGGATGCTTGTGGATGTGATGCCAATCAAGCGGGATGCTTTTTGCTGGATGGTGTCAAGCGTTTTGAGCATTGTTGAAGATTCCACTATTGAGGCAATTTTCTCGTTATTCCAAGGAAAATATGTTCTTTCACACTTATTACGTTAAACTGCATCTAACAAATGTGTGCCCATTTCATCAGCGATTCCCTATCCTGCCGAGATTAATGAGGGTCTTCTTCACTGATTGTTACATTTTCAGGCATTGTTAAATTAACCCTGTGAATATACTTCCCCTGACTTGCATTGCTAGCCTGAATGAAAGTCATATTTTATGCATCAATAATTAATATGTTTTATTATTTCTGACTTCTTACAGGACTATGTGAAGGAAAAGGTAAGAATTTTCACTGTTCCACAGTAACACATACACAGAAAGGCACACACATACATATATGCAGACGCATACATACACATATAAAACACAGACACGTACATATATACAGGTACACACACAGAAACAGGCACACACACACACACACACACACACACCCCGATGATCGGCAAAGTCTTTGTAATTAAATTACTAAAGTGCTAGATGCATATGAGCTGCCTTCTGGAACTGTTGCAGTCTGCCTGACTTTCCATGATTTTGACCAAGCATTTTAAAGGATTGGCGATATATTTAGAAGTCAGAATGGTGAGTGACTGGAAGGTGACCTTGCAGATGCTGGTGTTCCCATGTATCTGCTGCCATTGTCCTTATCGATGATAGCAGTTGTGCATTTGGGAAGTATTATCTCCGGAGACTTGTTTGATTTCTGCAGTTCATCTTGTAGGTAGTACATAGTGCTGTTCCTGACAGTCAGTGGTGGGGGGAGTGAATATTTGTGGATGTGGTGTCAATCAAGTGGGCTGCTTTGTCCTGGAGAGTGACAAGCTTCTCGGGTGTTGTTGGAGCTGTATCCATGCAGGCAAGGGGGCAGTATCTAGTCACACTACTGACTTGCGTCTCGTAGCTGGTGGATAGGCTTTGTGGAGTCAGGGGGCTTTCAAGTCCAGTCGAGTTTTTGATCAATGGTAACACCCAGTACATATTTGTTTATGTTCTTACGTTATTGAACTGTCAAGTTTCTGTGTTCTTGAATTCCGTCCACTCACTCAGCGCTGCACACATCCATCTCTGATGGTTGATGGATTGTGCTGCTATTTTTGAATGAGAATCTTTAGAATGGATGTAGGATAAAGGTTGTTGTCTGTTTGATTGCCTTGCAGTGAAGCGGATGCAGAAACAACAGATTTTAGCAAAAACTACCTATATTTTACTCATCTCCAAGAGCATCGTATACATGACCACAGTCAGCATCCTGCTGTTCAAGATGAAGGTATGTATCATGTAGAAGGTTCACCAGTATGAATTCTTTTTCATTCAGTCATCCCCAAATTTCAACACATTTCCTGCTTCTAGACTCCGCTGAGACATTTTTCCACATGTCGCTGGGCCTAATGGATTAAATCCATCTATCACTGGCCAAGTGATACAGGAGAGATAACACACAGGCTGGGTGACCGTTTTGCACAAGATAACTCTGAGTTTCCGTGGCTGCTACTTGAACACAACGCCATGTTCCCTGTCTCGGACTTGCTGCAGTTCTCCAACGAAGCTCAGTGCAAGCTGGAAGAACAATCTTAATTTTCCACTTGGGGACACTGCAGCCTTCAGGATTCAATATTGAGTTCAATAGTTTTTGGTGCTGAACATCTTCCTGCAAAGAAAGAAAGGAGCAGAGACAAAGAAAAAAATAAGTGGAGGGGAGATGGGGATGCAGCAGGTAATAGAGTGACTGACAGATTGCAAGGCAGATGGAGTGCATTATCATGAGAGATAAACAGAGTGGAGAGAGGGAAAGCAAGACTATGAGAGGAATAGGCAGAGAGGAATAGGTAGAAAAGTGCTGAAGGATATTAGAATGGTTGGAAAAATAATTGGAGAAATCTCATTCCAACAGCGAGAAAGAAACACGAATAAATGTTTCAAGAGTGCGCATAAGACAAAAAGAGATATAGAATTTGGGAAATGAGAACAATGCTCATTTATGTAAAATAAATTTCAGCCGAGAGCCGAGAAGGTCAAGTATAAGGTTATGTTTTGTGCACCCTCTGTTTTGCCTCACTGCCCCATTCTTGCCCCTCAATACAGCAATATTTGTCCCATCATGTCTCTATCCAATTGTCCACTTGAGATTTGCTGTTGAATCTATTTCCACCGCCATTCCTGAGAAACAGGTCGTTTGCATAACTCAGCATCAAACAATGTATCCATGAGTCCCTCACTCAGATTCTTTCAAGAATCATATTAATCTTATTTCCTCTGGTTTCTTGGGTACGTCTCAAGGCAACATTCCATTCCTGACGCAATTTGTTTCTCGATCCCTTCTAGTTTTCGGGAAAGCTGGCAAAATGTTACGATTGACTGAGCTGGGACAGAAGAAAATCATGAAACAAATCATGGTTCAGATCGTATCCCTCAAAACTATCCAGAAGAAAGAGAGAAATAAAATTTATTTGTAACGTTCACACATTGTCAGTTTCTATTGTTGATCCATGTTTTGCTATTTTATGTATCTGGAATGTTATCAAGATGGAAAATAAAGAGTTGTCAAACACTTAGGATTACAAAATGTTAGTGTTTCTGTCTAAAGTCCTCCTTCTTTATTTTCTCACTTGGTAACTTGTTGGCAGAGGGCGTTTACATTTTGTAAATGGTTTGATCAGTTCAGATTTTCCCTTTTGCTCAAAAAAGTACTTTTGATTATATTGAATTATTTGGATATCTATTTCCTTTGCTGTCTCTTTTGTGTTTAGTCACTAGAATTGTTAATAAACAAAATATTGATATATTTTGATGGCTCGTATATTTTGTCTTGATGATACTTGTAATGTTTATGTCCTGAACATAAAAGACATAAAAGATGGTGTTTGGTCAGATTTATTTTAATTAAAATGTCCTCAATGAGGCAAATATTAGTTATTGATCTCATATTGTCAATGAACTGTTTGGCTTACGAGGTCATCGCAGAGGTCAGTAAATCATCTATGAATTCCTATGCCTCTGATATCCCCACTATAGAATGGATTGTTTTGTGAGGAATGACTAAACAGACTGGGACTCTATTCAGAGATAGTAGGAACTGCAGATGCTGGAGAATCCGAGACAACAAGGTGCAGGGCTGGATGAACACAGCAGGCCAAGCAGCATCATAGGAGCAGAGAGGCTGACGTTTCGGGCCTAGACCCTTCATCAGAAAAGGGGGAGGGGAAGGGGGTTTTGAAATAAATAGGGAGAGAGTGGGAGGCGGATAGAAGAGGGATAGAGGAGAGGATAGGTGGAGAGGAAACAAACAGGTCGAAGAGGCGGGGATGGGGCCAGGAAAGGTGAGTGTAGGTAGGGAGTTAGGAAGGGGATAGGTCAGTCCAGGGAGGACGGACAGGTCAAGGGGG